AGATAGATAGATAGATAGATAGATAGATAGATAGATAGATAGATAGATAGATAGATGCTTAAACTGAATGCTTATATTTATTCTAGGCAGTCCTGAGCATTTTTAAACATTTAAATTATTTATTCTTTTAAAAATATAGATAATGTAGTAAAATATAAAATATAAAAATTTTAAAGTTTCAAAAATTAATAAGCAAGTATACGTAATAAATTATTCAAAATATTTTAGATTCAAAAACAGCAAATTACAAAATACATAATCCAGAAATTTTAGGCTATTCTATTTTTCAGCTATTCCTTAAAGAAACTTTGTCTTTTCCAGAGATCTGGAAGTTATTTACATTCTGTACTATAAATTAAGCATATTTAATACCATACTAAACTTCTAAAATTGTAAAGGAATATCTGAATTGGCCTTTTTATCTAGTCATGCCACTTGAGGTGGAGCATAGAAACTAGGGCTGGACTTGCAGTCTGAACTCAAATATGTATGTGCATGTTTCAGACATGCTATGGAATACCACCATTTCTACTGTTATGGAAATTTTATATTTCTATATCTCTTCTCTGTTAATTTGGTTACTTTTATACTACTATAGCTTTAAGAAGAAAAGCCTCTTCTCATTTACCTCATTTACCTTGTTTTACTTTTGGCCATATTGGGTTGTAAAAAAGGACAAGTCTACCTCCATCTACCTTCCTTTTTTCCCCCTCCCTGTATTTCCATTGTTATTGCAATGCATCTCAGCATCACTGGATCCTCTTCCCCCACTGAAGGAAGAGTTTAAGTCTCGCAGATGGAGCTCACCTGAAACTGACCATTGCCTATCACAAGGATACATTGTTTAAAATTCTTACTGTTTATACTCAAGACTTTTGTTAAGTACCCATAGCTCAATAAGTAGTGTGGCTAGTATTGTTTTTAATTTTTGTTCATAGCTTAGCAACTTGATCACTACGTCTCATAAGCATATTCTCTTGGTCATTATCTCTGTGATTTCCTCTCCTTTGTTTGTATTGCCCTGTTGATTTAAAGTCTATCCATGCACAAGAAATGTATAAAAACCTGTATCCGTATGCTGTAATGGAAGAGAGTGTGTGAAGGTAAAGAGAGAAATGCCTGTGCTACACTTCTCCCACTTCTGGAATTTAAAATAAACTATCCTTGTTTTTCACCCTGTCGGCATATTTCCTTAACACTACTGTTACCTGGCAGAAGGGGGAGAGAGTAATTATTGAGAGGAAAGAGCAAAGTTTAAGTGCAAGAAATAGAATACAGTGGTACCTCGGGCTACGAACTTAATCCGTTCCGTGACTCTGGGCATATCCCGAGTTGGTCGTAACCTGACGCAAATT